TTCCACCTAAACATGAGGAGAAACTTCTTCCCTTTGAGGGTGGCAGAGCCCTGGCAGAGGCTGCCCAGGGAGGTGGTGGAGTCTCCTCTGGAGACATTCAATCCCCACCTGGACATGTTCCTGTGCAACATGCTCTGGGTGGACTTGCTTTTGGCAGGGGGTTGGCCTAGATGATCTCCAGAGGTCCCTTCCAACCCCATGGGATTCTTGATAAAACCATTACAAACACAAGAGTCCTGATAATACAGCAGGGAAGTAATGAAGTTGTACTTTCTTCCATGGTTTCAAGGCTACCACGGGCTGCAAGATGAGTGACCCCCTCTGGCATCCCCAGCAAAACAAGGCAGAGGGATGGCATTCCAGTAGCATGGTCCTCCTTAGAACAGACTCCTTAATGCTACAAAACTAATAAAATAAAAATAGAAAAAGAATCAGCATCTGCCCACATACCTCACGGTGAAGGAATACGACCGATGCTGTGCCTGTTTGGCAGCCTTAGCTGGACCTCTTGTCCAAGGGAGGACTTGTTCAGCCTTCCTCCCTTAAACCCACATACACTTTTTGCCTCCACAAAGTCCTTCAGCAAAGAACTCCACGGGTCTGATACCCAGGTGGTGGAAAACCCACCTCCAGCAGATCAGGCTTTCACCAGCTCCGCCTGATGTCCACTAGCCCTCGTATCAGAAGAGACAGAGGTCAGTCCTGGCCCACCTTCTCCCTAGTGCCCACCCAATGCTCTTCCAGAAGAAAAAAACACTTCCTAACTCAGGTGGGGAAGTCCCTAAGGTGTTTCTGGATTATGTTTTTTTAACAAGGAGCTGTGGAGGGACCCTCCTCTGCCAGAGCAAGGAGTCTGTTCCAGCCAAGTCCCTGCGGAGACCAATGAAAGTACGAAAACCCAGAATCACATCCAGCACCAAACTCCAGGGTTTAAATGTAAAAGCTGAAAACTCAGGTTTAAAACCCTTGGAGAGAACAGGAGCCCAGGAGAGCACCTTCTTCCCTTAAGGCCTTGCAGCCCCTCCAAAATCCTACAGGAGCCTAATAGCTCAGCAAATGGTCTGAGGGGACTGCTCCTGAGGGATGCTTAGGGCCTAAAGCAAGGACCAAGCATCTTTCAAACCATAGGAACTTGGATTTGAGACAGATCTAGCAACAGCACAAGCTCACACAGGCAATCAGTGGCAGAAAAGGAATGAAACTAAGATTTCCAGAGCCACAATCCAGGCACTGACCAGAGGGGGACACTTCTGAAGAAGAAACAGCCTTGCCTGACAACAGGCGTCCTGCGCCCATGGCTCATAGTCATCATCCCTTGCTTTGCTCTTGAACTGGGGAGCCCAGAACTGGACACAGGATTCCAGTTGTGGCCTCCCCAGTGCAGAGCAGAGGGGGAGAATGACTTCCCTTGACCTGCTGGCCACACTCTTCCCTATGCAACCCAAGATACCATTGGCCTTCCTGGCCGCAAGAGCACACTGTTTACTCATTGTCATTTTACTGTCCACCAGGACCCCTAGATCTTTCTCTTCAGTAGTTGCCTCTAGCAGGTCCACCCCTAACCTGTACTGGTACCTGACATTTTTCTTCCCCAGGAGCAGGACCCTACACTTTTCCCTGACTTTTGGTCACTCGTGTCCCATCCCATCAGCTACCGAGCCAGGAGAAAGCACTGCAGAAGCCAGTGAGATTGGGTGGGGTATGGCCTGAGCACCACTCATGGTAAGGAAAGCTGCATGCCTTGGCATCGAGCAGAGTACAGCAGGTACCACCCTCAAGCATCCACAGTGAATTCAAAGCCAAAAATTGCTGTAAATGGTGCCAGTGTGGCAAAGGTTTAAAAAGCCTGGAAGTGTAGGAAGGTGTTGGCAGTGCTGTACACAGCAGGAATCCTCATGAGGTTTACAGGGCCATAAAAAGGGTGCTCCTGGGCTCACAGCCCAAGTCCTACTACCTGACAGCAATGCCTACCAAGAATAATGGAATAATAATAAAGGAAATGGGCACAAACTTGAATAGAAGAAGTTCCACCTAAACATGAGGAGAAACTTCTTCCCTTTGAGGGTGGCAGAGCCCTGGCAGAGGCTGCCCAGGGAGGTGGTGGAGTCTCCTCTGGAGACATTCAATCCCCACCTGGACATGTTCCTGTGCAACCTGCTCTGGGTGGACCTGCTTTTGGCAGGGGGGTTGGCCTAGATGATCTCCAGAGGTCTCCTTCCAACCCCATGTGATTCTTGATAAAACCATTACAAACACAAGAGTCCTGATAATACAGCAGGGAAGTAATGAAGTTGTACTTTCTTCCATGGTTTCAAGGCTACCACGGGCTGCAAGATGAGTGACCCCCTCTGGCATCCCCAGCAAAACAAGGCAGAGGGATGGCATTCCAGTAGCATGGTCCTCCTTAGAACAGACTCCTTAATGCTACAAAACTAATAAAATAAAAATAGAAAAAGAATCAGCATCTGCCCACATACCTCACGGTGAAGGAATACGACCGATGCTGTGCCTGTTTGGCAGCCTTAGCTGGACCTCTTGTCCAGGGGAGGACTTGTTCAGCCTTCCTCCCTTAAACCCACATACACTTTTTGCCTCCACAAAGTCCTTCAGCAAAGAACTCCACGGGTCTGATACCCAGGTGGTGGAAAACCCACCTCCAGCAGATCAGGCTTTCACCAGCTCCGCCTGATGTCCACTAGCCCTCGTATCAGAAGAGACAGAGGTCAGTCCTGGCCCACCTTCTCCCTAGTGCCCACCCAATGCTCTTCCAGAAGAAAAAAACACTTCCTAACTCAGGTGGGGAAGTCCCTAAGGTGTTTCTGGATTATGTTTTTTTAACAAGGAGCTGTGGAGGGACCCTCCTCTGCCAGAGCAAGGAGTCTGTTCCAGCCAAGTCCCTGCGGAGACCAATGAAAGTACGAAAACCCAGAATCACATCCAGCACCAAACTCCAGGGTTTAAATGTAAAAGCTGAAAACTCAGGTTTAAAACCCTTGGAGAGAACAGGAGCCCAGGAGAGCACCTTCTTCCCTTAAGCCCTTGCAGCCCCTCCAAAGTCCTACAGGAGCCTAAGAGCTCAGCAAATGGTCTGAGCAGGACTGTTCCTGAGGGATGCTTAGGGCCAAAAGCAAGGACCAAGCATCGTTCAAACCACAGGAACTTGGATTTGAGACAGATCTAGCAACAGCACAAGCTCACACAGGCAATCAGTGGCAGAAAAGGAATGAAACTAAGATTTCCAGAGCCACAATCCAGGCACTGACCAGAGGGGGACACTTCTGAAGAAGAAACAGCCTTGCCTGACAACAGGGCCCTGCGCCCATGGCTCATAGTCATCATCCCTTGCTTTGGAAGAGGAGGAAAATCTCTCTTTTTCTTTTTAAAGCACCACAGACTGATCAGTGCTTTAACCTACAGGCACATCTGCACGAGCTGGTTCAGAGCAGGGATGCTGATAAAAGCTCTTTGGCTGTTGCCAGCAGCCACTCTGCCCACTGGTGGCTCACTCCCAGTTGACAGAGGAACATTATGGACACTGTGCTCTGGCCCCACCTAGGACCATCACCAGGAGATGCTGCATACACTCTCTGTGGTGGAAGAGATCCTAGAATCGTCTAGGTTGGAAGAGACCCTTGGGATCATCAAGTCCAACCATCTACCCTACTCTACAAAGTTCTCCCCTACACCATATCCCTCAACACCACATCTAAACAGCTCTTAAACACTTCCATTTCCCCACCTAGGACCATCACCAGGAGATGCTGCATACACTCTGTGGTGGAAGAGGTGCCTCCTCATGGATCCCCATGAGATTGTGGGGCAACATCCACAGAGAGAAAAGACTAAAGGCAACCACAGAAAACCATAAAGGAAGGGGGAAATGCTTTTCTGCCTCGACGGGTGCTGCAAGAACCATCTCATTAACACCTGGTGCACTTGAGGAGAGGGGAATGCAAACCCTTCCTCCCTACCTCAAGACGCCAAATTAACTAGGGCAAGAAAAACTTCCAAGAATGGTAAAAGGTCTTAATTGAGAAAATTTTGAGGCAACTCACTGTCATGTTACTCCCAAGGCCACCGTCCCAGCAGTGTCTTCTTACTTAGGTAATCTGGATGCTAATTTGGACTTCAAGAGCTGTCAAAAGCTGAAGCAACTGAGTCCCTGAAAAGCTGTGCTTGCCTTAAGTGGAGATGATGACAGAGCTTTAACTGCATCAACACTTCAGAGCCCTGTCTCTATCACCCTTCGCTAATTTTGCCTTTGTCTGATGGAAAGAAGTAGCTGTTCTCAGCTGAATTGCTGGTGCAATGCGCAGAGCCACGTGCTGTCTTTGTTCCCAGCTGCAACGTTGGGAAACCAGTCCCACCAGCACGACCAGAGAAGAGAAGGCACAGCAAAGTCACTCCAAGCTGCTGGATGGGGAGCCTGGGACCACAAATGATGCAGCAACACACAGAGAAGACAACAAAAAGCTCCAGAGATGAGCCAGCTCCAACTTGCCCGTAGACCAACACATAGCCAACTCCACGCTGTTGGAGTTGCCCAAATACTCCACCAAGACATCTTCCCTACACCGACCACCTCCTCATGCAAAAAAATGTCAAAGGCTGAAAAAAAAAACCCAAAACTTGGTCCTTCTTGGACCTCTGGACTTACCTGACCTGCTCAGCATTTAAAAAGAGGGTGCTGCATTCAAGATGCAGATACCACGGGCAGGATGGGCACACAGCAGCCACCCATAGGCCACCCAAAAGGCAACTTTGTAAGCCCGTAGGCAAGTAGCCAGGACATGGCTGCAGGTTCCCCCCACCCTCCCATCAGCTGGACTCGCTCCTGACCTCAGTCAGGAGATCCATTTTAAGAAAAAAAAAAAGCGGGGTTTTCAGCCACCTAGCAGCCAGATTGATGAATAAAACCTCTTTGGATTATCAAACCCAAGAACCCATTTGAGCAATGAGCTCGTGCAAAAGCTTAACCTTGATTTAATGTTCTTACACACCTTGCTGATTAGTCCAGGTACTGATCCGTTGGTGGATTACACGATACCTTCAGCTACACTGAAAATGCTGACGGGAGCCAAAACCATCATGAGCCTGAGTTAAGCAGAAACAAATGCAATCAGCACATTACAACGCATTTCCTCAAAACAGAGAGGTTGGGTTTTTTTAAGCCCTTGTCCTTGGTAAACACTTCCAAATCAGATTCCCCATGATACCTGGGTTTAAGCAGCTTAACCATTTGCTGGAGCTGATGGTCTTCTCATAGGAAGGCAACACGGTGGGGGGTTAAACCAGACTGTGGGTTGCTTGCTCCATGTGATGCCCTACGTTTGACCCAATCCCTGGTCCACAAATCCATGTCGGAGAGAGGGCAAGCTCGCTGGGAGCAGTATGACACTTGGGAGTGCAAACCCCCCAGATGATGAGCGAGAAGTAGACACAAGGACAGGCATCTGCTCCAGCCCAAAGCATGGATTAGAGTTTGCTGCAAAAAGCCCCAGCCTTTAGATTTGATCTCACCTGCGAATCCAGTGAGTTGCAGACCCATCCCAGGAGGCATTCCTGCTTCAATTCAGAGCATGCTTTTAACACTAGACTCATTACACAGGCACAAAAGACCACGTGGCTAATTTCAGGTGGTTTTCAGCAGCAAAGTCCTTGCCTTAATTTAGATTACAGATTGTGAGCAGGTGGGAGTTAGCTTTCCAGGTGCAGGAACCCACCTCTGCCAGCCAGGAGGGTGCCCGAGACACACCAAAACAGGCCAGTGTTTATGCAACACAAGAGCAAACACCACGCCTGCTTGTTTAATTAGTTACCCCTGAAATTAAAGCCCGTCAAATTGCACGGAGGCTTCATGCAACCTGCAAATTATCTACAAGGAATGCAACCTGGAGGTGAGGGATGCCAGATCTAATCCAAGCAGTGGCTCCCAGCACTTTCCGTACCGTCAACAGTGCCATGCAGGGGAAAAAACCCAAAATAACACCACCCACCCCATCTGTCTGCACTTCAGAGTTTGTTGTTCTCATCTCGCCAGGTTAAAAGCCGCTCAATCCCATCACCACGGGTCAGATGGCTGATAAGACACCTATTTCATCATTTTAAGGCTCAAAGCGTTTATTGGAAGGGTTTATCTGCAAACAAAAGTCGCGCACTTTGAACTGTTTAGTTTTATGTCAGTTAAAAAAATGCACAAGGCCCCCTGTCTGGACACTCTGAAAATTAATGTGGTACGAAACGAGACTGCAGCCTCCACTGCTGGCACTGTCAAAAACATGCTGCTGCTCTTTGCCGTGGACAACTTTTCCGGGCTGAGCCATTTTAGGGAAAGATGCCTCTCTTTAGCAAGACAGTTGGGCCAAGAAATGCTAATTTCCATCATTTTTGCTCAAAATCCCAGGCAAAGCAGGGCTGAGTTTTGGACATTTTTTTTTTTCAGCATTAGTCAACAGGCAAAACAAAATGACACCTGAAAGTTATCTTAAAGTAACGGTAGATTTTTTTTTCCCCTGCTTAAAGCAGAGTTTTTGTCGTTGAGTGGAGCCAATTTCTGCAACTTTCTGTATTCCACTTCTTGCAGGCACAAAACACCCTCCCACGTGTGCATCGAGCCACAGCAACGCACCACCTTTGCAGGAGCATCCCCTAAAAAAATTGGGTAACACCAAGCCCCAATGGAGGGAATATTTCCAAAGGGTAAGTTATTCCCTTCTCTGCCATCTCCAAGAAGTCAGCCCCAGGCAAGGCCGTGAGGAGACCTACCTGCCCTCGCTTCTCAAGCCCCAGAGGAACTCAAAGTCCTCCTGTTCAAGCCCAAGAGCTGGTTCCTCTGCTCATCCCTGCTGAGCTTTCTGTGGTAACAGACCCCAACGCCAAATTTCCGACTAATGCTGCTTGAATTAGGGGTGAAGAATTATCATCCGTTGGCTTAGACCAACACAAAAATGCTCATATTAGAGGGAAAAAAGACAAAGCTGTTGCTGACAGCCAACCAGGGGGATACAGAAAAGCCCAAAGTTTGTCCGCTGTCTCTAGAAGAAGGCCTCATTTTAGAAAGCAAGGACTAAAATCAGATTAAAAAGCCCAATATATTCAGGGAGAGATGCTGAACATCAGCCACGTGCAGCAAAGAACCTGCCCCATTTGCTTTCTTAGAAAGCAACTCCAATCCTACCATCAGCTCTGTTTCAAGACTGCTTTGATAACAACACCAATGTGTGTATTTTAATTCTGGCTCTGTATCTAGAAGGAACATCAGCCACGTGCAGCAAAGAACCTGCTCCATTTGTTTTCTGTAGAAAGCAACTTCAATCCTACCATCAGCTCTGCTTCAAGACTGCTTTGATAACCATGGCGATGTGCGTATTTTAATTCTGGCTCTGTATCTAAAACACAGGTTGGGACCTAGAAGCAGCAGGCTCTTGGCTAGAGAAGACAATTCTAGGTACAACCAACATGCCAGGGCACCATCCATGGCCATCTTTACCATCTCACCTAGACAAAACCTCCTTTTCACAGATTTTTTGCCCCGTGAAGTCATGTTCTTCCAATATCTCAACGCAACTCACACCCAGAAGGACAGAAGATCTTGGTGTGGGCACCAGGGCAGCTCTGCAAGGACAAGGAGAAGAGGCAGCAAGAACTTTCCAGGAGCCAAGGGATGCTCTCCAGCATGACCAGCTGATGCCCACATGCAGCCTTCGATGACTTTACTCTGAGAAGGCCAGGGTCAGGCCAGAATTAGACACGCTTTTGATGGAAAAAGGGAGCCTAAATATCAAACCAATGCAGATGGGACTTTCTTTTCTGAATTAAAACTTGCTTGAAGTGCCACATAAAAGCAGTGAAATCCGAGGCACAGCTGACGCACTAGGACAGATCTATATTTAGAAAGATGACACAAGTACTTAATCAACAGGAAAGAAACAGAAACTTTTTTGGCACTGTCCAGGAAGAGAAAAGAAAACCAAAAGAGAGACGGTCACCACCACTCATCATGACTAAAAGCAACAGCCACTGCCGTTTCAGCCTCCAAACTCACCACTTCTACACCAAATTCAGCTTTTTTCCCAATATATGATCCCAGTAAACAACATTTATGGCTTGCAGAGAGGAGGGTGCCCGAGACACACCAAAACAGGCCAGTGTTTATGCAACACAAGAGCAAACACCACGCCTGCTTGTTTAATTAGTTACCCCTGAAATTAAAGCCCGTCAAATTGCACGGAGGCTTCATGCAACCTGCAAATTATCTACAAGGAATGCAACCTGGAGGTGAGGGATGCCAGATCTAATCCAAGCAGTGGCTCCCAGCACTTTCCGTACCGTCAACAGTGCCATGCAGGGGAAAAAACCCAAAATAACACCACCCACCCCATCTGTCTGCACTTCAGAGTTTGTTGTTCTCATCTCGCCAGGTTAAAAGCCGCTCAATCCCATCACCACGGGTCAGATGGCTGATAAGACACCTATTTCATCATTTTAAGGCTCAAAGCGTTTATTGGAAGGGTTTATCTGCAAACAAAAGTCGCGCACTTTGAACTGTTTAGTTTTATGTCAGTTAAAAAAATGCACAAGGCCCCCTGTCTGGACACTCTGAAAATTAATGTGGTACGAAACGAGACTGCAGCCTCCACTGCTGGCAATGTCAAAAACATGCTGCTGCTCTTTGCCGTGGACAACTTTTCCGGGCTGAGCCATTTTAGGGAAAGATGCCTCTCTTTAGCAAGACAGTTGGGCCCAGAAAAGCTAATTTCCATCATTTTTGCTCAAAATCCCAGGCAAAGCAGGGCTGAGTTTTGGACGTGTTTTTTTTTTTTTTTTTTCAGCATTAGTCAACAGGCAAAACAAAATGACACCTGAAAGTTATCTTAAAGTAACGGTAGATTTTTTTTTTCCCCTGCTTAAAGCAGAGTTTTTGTCGTTGAGTGGAGCCAATTTCTGCAACTTTCTGTATTCCACTTCTTGCAGGCACAAAACACCCTCCCACGTGTGCATCGAGCCACAGCAACGCACCACCTTTGCAGGAGCATCCCCTAAAAAAATTGGGTAACACCAAGCCCCAATGGAGGGAATATTTCCAAAGGGTAAGTTATTCCCTTCTCTGCCATCTCCAAGAAGTCAGCCCCAGGCAAGGCCGTGAGGAGACCTACCTGCCCTCGCTTCTCAAGCCCCAGAGGAACTCAAAGTCCTCCTGTTCAAGCCCAAGAGCTGGTTCCTCTGCTCATCCCTGCTGAGCTTTCTGTGGTAACAGACCCCAACGCCAAATTTCCGACTAATGCTGCTTGAATTAGGGGTGAAGAGTTATCATCCATTGGCTTAGACCAACACAAAAATGCCCATATTAGAGGGAAAAAAGACAAAGCTGTTGCTGACAGCCAACCAGGGGGATACAGAAAAGCCCAAAGTTTGCCCGCTGTCTCTAGAAGAAGGCCTCATTTTAGAAAGCAAGGACTAAAATCAGATTTAAAAGCCCAATATATTCAGGGAGAGATGCTGAACATCAGCCACGTGCAGCAAAGAACCTGCTCCATTTGTTTTCTGTAGAAAGCAACTTCAATCCTACCATCAGCTCTGCTTCAAGACTGCTTTGATAACCATGGCGATGTGCGTATTTTAATTCTGGCTCTGTATCTAAAACACAGGTTGGGACCTAGAAGCAGCAGGCTCTTGGCTGGAGAGGACAATTCTAGGTACAACCAACATGCCAGGGCACCATCCATGGCCATCTTTACCATCTCACCTAGACAAAACCTCCTTTTCACAGATTTTTTGCCCCGTGAAGTCATGTTCTTCCAATATCTCAACGCAACTCACACCCAGAAGGACAGAAGATCTTGGTGTGGGCACCAGGGCAGCTCTGCAAGGACAAGGAGAAGAGGCAGCAAGAACTTTCCAGGAGCCAAGGGATGCTCTCCAGCATGACCAGCTGATGCCCACATGCAGCCTTCGATGACTTTACTCTGAGAAGGCCAGGGTCAGGCCAGAATTAGACACGCTTTTGATGGAAAAAGGGAGCCTAAATATCAAACCAATGCAGATGGGACTTTCTTTTCTGAATTAAAACTTGCTTGAAGTGCCACATAAAAGCAGTGAAATCCGAGGCACAGCTGACGCACTAGGACAGATCTATATTTAGAAAGATGACACAAGTACTTAATCAACAGGAAAGAAACAGAAACTTTTTTGGCACTGTCCAGGAAGAGAAAAGAAAACCAAAAGAGAGACGGTCACCACCACTCATCATGACTAAAAGCAACAGCCACTGCCGTTTCAGCCTCCAAACTCACCACTTCTACACCAAATTCAGCTTTTTTCCCAATATATGATCCCAGTAAACAACATTTATGGCTTGCAGAGCCCACGTAAAGACTATCCACCATAACACACCGCGTGCGTATGTACAAGAGAGCTGGCATTATTTTATTTTTTTTTAAATTTAGTGCTTACTATGGTCAGCTTGGTTTTCAAAGGGACAACTAATAACCTCTTAGTACTTCAGCATAAAACAAATACGCCGAGGTGATAAAACCTCTTAGTACTTCAGCATAAAACAAATATACCGAGGTGATTAAAAAAAAAGCCACTTCCAAGTTTTGCAGACTGAAGTTTTAAGAGGGACAAAGCAGAGCAAGCAACATAAAATGCATTCCTTCAAAATCTGCTCTTTCTTCTGCATTACTCACTTGGGAGCTTTCGGTTCAGAAGTCAGAGATGTGCTTAGCCGGACATCCGATTGTTTGCTGGGCCTCATCCCAAATTTCTCCAACATTACTCACATTTTTTGTGCGGGAAGAGAGATGAGGATTTTTATACTTGAAGGCAAAAGGGAGGAAAAAGCGTTTGTGGCATTATATAGGAATTATAATGGTTAAACTTAGAACTCTGGGTCCAGATGATCTCATCCACAGAAGGAGAAAGAAATCAGGCTGATGGCTGGACTCTTTTGCCTTTGCACTGCTTGGGACCCAGGGATGAGCTGGGATCTCCCCAGCCCATCCAGGTGGGATCCTGGAGCTCCGGGGAGATGGGCAATGGATGCTTGGCCTCCAGGAAGGTGCTCTGCATACAAACAACACGGCAGCATCACCTCCCTGCAGGGAATTACCCTCTCCCCTGCCTTCATAAGCTAAATTGCCTTAAAGCAGCTCTAAGCCAGAAACCACTTGCTCTTTCCCAAGGCAAAATGCTTCCCCTTCCCCCTCCAATCAAGGGCACCATCTGATGCAGCCCCGGTCACAATCCCCTAAAAATCAGGCCAAGCGACAAATATTTCTATTCTTTTTATCCTGCCTGATTGCAGGGCAACCTGGGTAGTGATTTGCCCCGCCCCGCAAAATGCACTTTTGAAGTTATTTTAGATCCTATTTTTGGGGGCTCGGGCACCGTAACCACAGAGGCCACGATTCAACCCTCAGGTTGTACTGCTGCTTGAAACCCAGACACCCATGTTCCGTGCCTCAGTTTCCCCCCAGAATTATCTGCTCAGCTGTACCCATACCCTTCAGGATACACATCCCTCTCCATCACCTAATGGATGCATCTCCTCCTTCCTGTGCCAGGGGCCAGGTACCAGGAAAACCAGCAGCAGGATGGCAAAGAGCTTTCCACACACACACAAAGGATGCTTGCAACTCGAGGGTTTAAAACAGGGGTCAAGGAACTGAGGTGAAGCTGGGATGGAAAGTTTACCCCCCCCCGCTGCAGGGCAATTTGCTCCCCAAATCCCTGCTGCAGGGCCCTGCATTCCTGCACTCAAACGGTATGCTGGGCTAAAGCTTTTTTCTTTTTTTTTTTTGTTTGTTTTTTTTTTTTATTTTTGCTTACTGTTTCCATGCCCGGTCATGTCCTGCATCCTGGATCTGGTGAACATTTTAATAGCTCCTATTAATAGGCAGAGCAAGAGCTGGAGAGGTGCTGGCTCCGAGGAGGTGTCCCGCTGCAGGGCACGGTGCTCAAAAAACAGGCAGAGAAACCAAACCCCCCCAAAAAAACCCCCAATCCCTGCTCACTCACCAGCAGAAGCAGAGATTGAGCAGCTCAGTGGCTTTCGAACCCCCTTGGTGCAAGGGATTTCTGGCACAGCCTTGCAACGGGATTTATCTCCACCAGATGATTTCAAGGCTACCCTCATAAAGCCCCAAAATCAGCTAACGTTGTGAGGCAGTGGCATTGCATCAGGTGCCACCACCACCACGTGTCCTGTGCCAGCCCCCCTGGCACCCCAGGCCAGCAGGGAGCAAAAGCATTTGGGGTCTGTGCTCAGCCTCAACTGGCAATTTTTTTTTTTTTTTTAATTATTATTTTTTACACACCTCCTGAAAAAAAAAAACTCATCTCCCATTCCCTTGCAGGTCCAAGAGCTGAGATGTTCTGGAGATGACAGCACGTCCACCCCCTCACCAGGGTGGAGCTGTGACCTTGTTTCACAGGATCTCAACCAGGCACTGGCAGAGTCCAGATGGACCGTCTGGCTAATTGAGTTAATTAAAGAGTTTTTCAGCAGTGATTAACTTTCAGGTGCACGCCGCTCCAGCTCTCTCCAGGGAGCACGGGCCACACCTCAGGAGCAGCAGGAGAGGCAGGAAAAACTATATGGAAGGACTTACTGATGGGCACTAAGCTCTTTCTCAGCAGGGTTCACTAGCTCCAAGCAGCTTAACAAGAAAAAAAAAATAAAACACCACCAAAAACAACCCACCAACCTCAAAACAAACCCCAGAAAAGCCTCAAACCTTCATCTATTTTATTCACCTCCAGGCTGAGCAGGACAGACCCTGCACAGAGAGGATCCAGGCAAAGCTCTAGTGGGTGGATACACAGGAGGAGACCCACCACCCTGATATCCCAAATCCCAGAGCATCTTTTCCCCCCGGATCCAGTGCAAAACAGAGGTGATAAGCTCCAGGAAGGCAGCAACGTTGCCTGTAACTCTTAGGATGATAAGCTGGTCAAGGCCAGAGCTGGCAGCACGAGCTATCCTTTTTGCTGACGAGTTAATCGCCATCTCCCAGGGACAGTAAATACTTTGTCCCTCCGCAGCCCTGGCCCAGAGATAACCAAGCAAAAACCCTCACAAAGGCCAAGAGAAAGGCTTGCTTTGTGGCCCCTGCTGCTTTGCTCCCCAACAAGGGGGGGTGGCTGCCGCGAAGGGCTGGAAAGGAGCCACGTCCGGGGAAGCTGGTATTAAAAAATAACACAAACAAATCCCCCTCCCCCAAAAAAAAAACCAACCCAAAACCAACCTACCCCATTGCACTGCACCCTGTGCTTTCATCCCTTCCCCAGAAAAAAAAATAATACTATTCTTCTGTCCAAGAAAACAAGGGGTGAACACCTATAGAGGTACCACTTTCTGGAGGCTGCTCCAATAAATCTGCATCTCCTCTTTTTTTCTTTTTTGCAGGATGCACCCTCCTCCCCCCCGCCCCCCAACTCTTCCTCTCTTTTTTTTGAGGGATGTACCCCCTCACTGCCTTTTTTCTGTAACTCTGAGCCCGATGAATTACCAAGGACCCATTCCTCCTGGGCCACGTGCATTAGGACAACAGCTCAATCTACAGCTACATGCACCGAAAAAAAAAAAGAAAATGCGAAAAAAAATAAAAGCATGGTGCTTGGGGGGAGCCAGAAGAGCATTTCCACGCGTGTTGCTGGCTGGGAAATGCTTCTCAGGCCGGCAGAGAGCAACCCCACCCCGGCAGAGCTAATCTGATGGCAGGTTTTCAATGCAGCAGCCAGGATGCGAGAGGCTTGGGAGGGAGGGCTGGGGGGGAAAGAAAGCAAGGAAATGCCACAGAGGTGAGGGACGCTTTTTCTGGCCGGGCAAAAGCTTGTTTTGTTTCCCCTCCCTCCAGCTAGCTGCCATTTTCTGGAAGCTGGAGCAGTTACCAAAAAAAAAAGAAAAAAAAAATGAAAAGTTTCTCTTTGTTTAATTATAACCCTTGTGCTGAGGGACCCAGCGTCCCCCCCAGCTGCTCTGGGAACGGATGCAAGCGACGATGACAACCCGGCCATGGGGAATAACGCCCCAGTTAAAGCTTTAAGGTCTCCCACAAAGTGGTGACCCCGGCTCCAACAGATTATTTTTACCCCCAGAGGCATGCAAGACCTGGGAGACTTTGGTCTCAATTCCCTGTTACTCAAATTCCAACTTGTTTTGCTCCCTTCTTCCACCCTTTACCTGGTGTAGGTGTTTTTTAGGTGGACAACTCAAGCGCCCTCTTCCTCTGCACCGAGCAAACCGATGGATGATGCTCCAGCCAGCCCCGTCGCTTGCCGAAGCCACATCTGCACCGATGCCAACCTGCAGCCCAGAGGTCCATCCAAAGCCACCCATGGATTGATTCCAAGTTCAAACCCCTCTAACTCAACACAAGATGGCTCGTGCTCCCCCCACCCGCCACCCCCAACCCTACATTGCTGCGATGCCATCAGTCCCAAGCAAAACAAGCTGAAGGCCACCATTGCAGAGGAACATCACAAGCCACAACGAGCCCTCCAAAGCTAACAGCAAGCAAGTCAATGCCCGAAGCCCTCACCAAGCTCACTAGCAAGCTAACGGCAGCAGCACCCACGAAACATCTCCTGCCTTGCTTTCCTCCACTGACCAAGCCGGGGAAGCACCATTGTTCAACACCAAAAATGCCTTTTCTGTTCCTAAGGAAACAGCCAGCGTCATTCAACCGAGGCCACACACCATGCAAACACCTTCCCCCTAAAAAACAGCCTAAAGCATGGTCAGGATGGCCGGGCACAAAGGGAGAAGGGTGGCTGCTGGATCTACCCCCGGAGAGCAAGCTGGGGGAGAGGGAAGAGGTAGCTTTTCGTGGGGCTTGTCTGCAGCACGGGATGATCAACCCAGCCCAAGGACTACGTACCGCAGACGCGTTTCTTTGCTGGGTTGAAAGGGTGTTTCCTGGAGTCAGCTAAAAAACATCTGGTTTTGCTCTGAGGCAGCGATCTCCCCTCTTGAAAAACGACGGGATGCTCCCCAGGGCAACCCTCCCACGGGGCAGGAGAAGGGGGCAAGAGGAAGCAACTTCAGAGCTTGCAGAGAACTGTGAAAAGGAAAGGCTTTCATATTATTATTATTATTGCAGCTTTCCCCCCATCGTTGAACAGGACTGCAAGCCAGACATGCATTACCATCCTTATAATTTACGCAAAAACACCCAGATGATGAAGAAACACAGGAGAGAGTAAACAAAAAAAAAAAGTAAAAAATAAAAAGTGACTCAGCCACCTTCTGCCTTTTTGTATTTTAATGTATCCGGGTTTGAGGCTACGAAGTTGCTCTCACATCCACAGAATCACAGAATCTTCTAGGTTGGAAGGGACCTTAAAGATCATCTTGTCCAACCGTCAACCTAACTGACAAAAATAGACACCCACACAACAAACAAGGAGCATCATCACTAAACCAGACCTCCCAGCACCACATCAACCCGGCTTTTGAACACCTCCAGGGATGGGGCCTCAACCACCTCCCTGGGCAGCCCATTCCAATGCCTGAGAACCCTTTCAGTGAAAAAAATTTTCCTAATATCCAGCCTGAACCTCCCCTGGCGCAACTTGAGGCCATTTCCTCTCGTCCTGTCGCCTGTGACTTGAGGAGAGAGACCGACCCCCACCTCTCTACACCCTCCTTTCAGGGAGTTGGAGAGAGCAATAAGGTCTCCCCTCAGCCTCCTCTTCTCCAGGCTGAATAACCCCAGCTCCCTCCACCACCTTGCGCACACACAACCACGCCGTGGCCGAGGAAGAGGAGACGGGATGCAGCGCACATTCTCCAGGCTGAATAACCCCAGTTCCCTCCACCACCTTGCACACACAACCAAGCCGTCGCCGAGGAAGAGGAGACGGGATGCAGTGCGCTCCGCCTCCCTGCTGATGGGTCTGAAGCAACACCTCGCCCAGGCGGAGCAGGAGCAACTGCTGGCGTAGGAGCAGGCAAGAACATTTAGCCCTAGGACTCACAATTCCTTGTCTTCTATCGGTAATGAGAGCATTACGCTCCCCGGCAGCCCCGTTGATACGCCAGCTGGGAATGACTACCTCTCGGCGCTGAAAATACGCCCTTGCGCAAGTTCAAATTAAATCGGCAGGTTAAAAATAGATATATTTTGTGGGGGGAGAAGGTGGGGGGGCACTGGCCAAGGGGTTCGTAATAGAGGAGCAGCAGACTGGCCAGCCCGTAGACAGTGCTAGGTTTCCATCAAAAAATGAGATACTGCTTGTGGGACACTGAATTGCACTGAATTTTAGATTTGGAAGGAACCATAGAGATCATCCAGTCCAACTCCCCTGCTGAAGCAGGATTGCCTAGAGCTTGTCAGAGCATGTTACTCAGGATGGCATCCAGGTGGGTCTTGAAAATCTCCAAGGAAGGGGACTCCACACCCTCCCTGGGCAGCCTGTCCCAGGGCTCTGTCACCCTCACCGTGAAGAAGTTTCTCCTCATATTCAAGTGGAACCCTTTATGTTCCAACTTGTGCACGTTGCCCCTCGTCCTCTCACTGGGAACCACTGAAAAGAGTCTGGCTCCCTCCTCCTTCAACCCTCCCTTGAGATACTTGTAGGCATGACACAAGTGACCCCTCGTCCTCTCACTGGGAACCACTGAAAAGAGTCTGGCTCCATCCTCCTTCAACCCTCCCTTGAGATACTTGTAGGCATGACACAAGTGACTGCTTCAAAAAACATGCAACCCACCCAAAATGCCAACCTTCCCAGCAGAAAAAGCAAAAAAAAAAAAAAAAAAGTAGTGAATCCAAGGACGGGATGAAAGAGAGTTGGAAGTTTTACAATCAGCTCCTTCACCCATCGAAGAGCCTGCAAACACAGTCAGCATGCACGGGGGAGCACGGCTGCCTGCCAGACCTGCAAACCACCCAGAGCAGCAAAGGGATTTTGGGCACTCCTTCGCTTGCCCATTGCTGTGAGCCACCAGGATGCACCCCTCTCCATACCCTCCCACACTTTTCTATCAGCCCAAGGGAGCAGAAATGCACTGAAATCATTCCTACTCCAAGGACCACCAGGAGAAATTAAGGACCCCAGGCTACAATGAGGACCATGAGAGGGGAGAGATGTTTCAGGTGAGCTACAGGAGAGATGCTATCCTCAAAAATTATCCCTCAGCGTGACTCTTGGGATACTTGTGGTGTTGCTGGAACATCACTTGAGCGTTCAATGAAAACCAGATGGTAGCATCTGACCTGCTGGGAGCAGGTCTCTCCTCCCTGTTTAGAAAGCCAAGGCTCTGTGCTGTAAAGAAAGGGACTTGTCAGGACATGCATGTGCCCACTGGAGGACCTGCTCCCATCAGCCGAAGTTACAGGTCCTGCAAGTGCTTTCTCTTTTTTTTATTTTAAAAAAAAAAAACCAAACCCAAAACAGTATTTATGGCCACACAAAGTGAGCTCAGACTGTAATTCGCACCTTTGAATTTAATACACCCTGCAGCTTCGCAATTAAGAAGCAAGGCTGCCCCTTTCACCCCCATACCACCCCTTCAGATCCTTCAGGGAGAAGCATCAGACCCACCACCGACCCTCCCGCTCCTCCCCAGGGTTTCAGCTGCCCCTTCCACTGTTTGCTCCCAAGTCACATCCTCAGCGGG